TTTACAACAAATTTATTCAAGGCAAAATGTTTATTACAGAACAGGATCTTAAAGTAAGCAAGGCAACATTAGATTAACCATTTTAGATTATTTTTTAATGAACTGTGGCTTTAAAACTGTACTAAAGAACACAAACTCTAACATGCTCTTCTTATAAATGGGAGGATGTAGAAAAGCAAAGCTTCAAAGTGTAGGGGTTGGAACCATTTGGCACTCTGATCTGATAGTGATTAAATGCAGTCAGAGCTTCTACTGCATCCATTTTGCATTCCCATTCTAATAGCCCAGAAAGTGTTTTGGCAGAAGGTTTTTGCATCAAACACTTTATATTTGATGAATGTGAGAACTTCATGGTCATTACATAACTTTGTGAAGGTCTCTTCAGTCACACACAATGGAACATTGTAATAATGCAGCACACATGAAGGCGGCTGGATTATATTCTTAGATGCTTGGCCAGCACTTGTAAAACGATTATTTTTGCTCATTGCAAAATCTTTGTAGCTACTTGTACCATCTTCCAGCTCAAATATTTGACTTGGAACAACTGAATGTTGTTTAGACACACAAACATTAAGTCTTTTCCCAAACAACTTGACATTATTAAGGTGTGTGACAGCTCTTTCCACAGCATACTCATCACCCATTTCTACCAGTGCTGTGCCAGGGATGGTCTTCATAAATTTTACCTTTTCAATATTTCCAAATAAGCAAAATAGGTTGAAGACTCTTGAACAATTCATTTTTAGTTGATGCAATCCACTGACCATTACAACTGAGCCAGAGGGATTTCCCCCATGCATGTAAGATGAAGAAGCCTGGGGTAACGGATATGCAACAAGCTCAGGTGTATCTCGAGAGCCCATTCTGTATCGACTTGGTAAAGGCAATAATGGACCATGTGATCCATAGCTATCATGTCTAAAGGAAGAAGGGTGTTCTCCCAAAATGGCTTGTCTCTGGCGACCCTTTCCTCTATCTCTTCTTCCCAAATATGGCCTAGTGTAGTCCCAACTGTCATTGTCATTCCTCATAACATTTAGACGTGTTGGTCTCGCATATTCAATCTTTAGCGCGCAACACCCGGCATAGATGTCTGCTCCGTTGAGCGCTACCTTGGCTTTCTGGGCACAAAGGACTGATTCAAACTCGACCATTGCTTGTATCCCATTCCTCTTGAATATAACAATGCGCTGCACTTTTCCAACAGGATTGCACACAGTATATTGCACATCCACTGTAACTGGGTAAAGAGGATTCTGAATTGACAGCAAAAGGAATTTGTTGCCTCCTGATGGATCATCAGTGTTTCCTGGAGGAGTGATCCTTTTACTTGTAGAATAGTTTAAAAAAAGCCTGTTGACCAGCAATGTACACAGGTTCATCTGCAGCAAAGGTCACGCATTCTTTGACACTATCTATGTTTTCAAATTCCACCAGAGCCTGTCGCTTAAATGGCATCATCATCACATAACATATTGTCGCAAATTTTTCCAGAACCTCCACAAGGTCTGCTTCCACTACGGATTCACACAGTCCTCGAACATGAACAACGGGTGAGACAGAAACCTTATGATGACTTCCACCTGCCTCAGGCTGCGCGAAGCTCCGGCCGCCGCCGCCGCCGCCGCTCTCGCCCCCGCCCCGCAGCGTCGCTTCCCGGCGGTTCTCGCCTTCCTCGGCCGAGTAGTCGATCTCCCCCTCCTCGGTTTTGAGGCGCTTGGCCTGGCTCTTGTATTCCCGGTCCTCCTCGTTCGTCTCCCTGGGGGAGAGGAAGAGGAGGACATGGCGGCGGCCTGTGGTACCCGCCGGCCGGCGGTGGGGGTGGCGGAGGGACGCGGGCCTCAGGCACCGCCTGCCAGTGCCCGCCGCGGGGCTCACGCAGCCGGCAGCCGGTGGCCGGGGAGAGCCGGCGGGCTGAGCGGGGAGCCCCGAGACAGGATCCGCGGCCACAGCTCCCTGCGCCGCCCAGCCAGCACTCCCTATTTTCTTGTTAAGTTCCGTTATTTGGATATTATAGGTGTGTAAACTCAGCACAATATTCTAGAAGAGTCCAGTAGCCCATAATAGTATTGGGTCTTCCGCTTCACTGGCAATGTCAGAAATTGTTGACCTGAGTCCACTACAGCTCAACATAACAGCATAGCTTAACTTCTTATATTTTGTTTTTATACATTTCTGCTGGATGGTTAAGACCAAGGTAAAGCAGTACCTATTCAACAAGAGTCGTAGCTTTTGGGAGACCATATTCTTAAGTGAAATAAATCTGACTCAAATGTTTGAACATGCTATTGTCTCCCTGCTGTGAGGATCTGAAAGTGTATATAAGGATTAAAATATGCAACAGATATTTGAATAAAGAAGAATGTGATCAAGAGGAAAAAGGAAGATGTGTTAAAATGGAGAAATCAATGAGGAAAGGGGGGATTGCAAGTCTGCTATGTTATTAGTGTTTTTTAGTTCATTAAAAAGGAAGGTTGATGCTCATATATGTTGGAGATATTTTTATGCCCCTATCTTTTACCCTAAATAAATACTTTAAAATAAAATCATGTGATATATTAACTATTGCTATTCTCTGATGAGGAGGCTGGCACTAAAAATTCCAACTCTACACAGTCATAGTCTTTTGCAGTACTTCCAAGATGCTTTTTTTTATTTTATGGAGAAAAAGTAAAACAAAAATTCATAACAAAGTCCTAAGAGAATAACATTACTACCATGAAATCTTCAGTTCAAGAGTATTTGTCTTTGCATTTGATAATGTTATTCTACATAGTTGAAATCCACATATAAACAAATTGTGCAAACCTCCTCAGGAATTATGCAACAGGACCATGTGTGAAAGAAAAATATGCACACATGAACTAAATCATATTATCAATATATTAATAGCATTGAACTACTGTAAAAGAAACAATTGAAATATGTTAAGGGAATAAAGCACATTAATCTGCACATCAAATTTTCTGTACTGAAATTGCTGAGATAATCAAATGACAGGCAAATTAGAAGTGAATAATGCAACAAATCTGAGCAAAAGTAACACTGATTACAATTAAATTAAAGGAACATAAATTCAGATAACAGATTGACAGGAAAAATCATTAAAATTGTTTGAGTATATTTATGAAACTTAGAGAATGAATATTTCAGCTTAAAAAGATAAATTTCTTCCTGCATATATATTAACTCTAAATTCATGCAATGAATTCTGCTCTGGCCTTAACAAAATAATGTAACACTTAGGGACAAAGATGCAGCCCAGCAGCCCTGCACTGGAGGCCAAGATGGAGAAGACCTCCATGGCCACCATGGCCTTCCCCTTGCTGCTGTGGTACATGGGCAGGAAGGTGACCCACACGATGCAGAACACCAGCATGCTGAACGTCAGGAACTTGGCTTCATTGAAGGTGCCAGGCAGGTTCCTGGCCAGGAAAGTCACAGTGAAGCTCACCAGGGCCAGGCAGCCCAAGTATCCCAGGACACAGTAGAAGGCAGTGAGGGAGCCCTTGTTGCACACTATGATGATGTGGCCATGTTCAGAGTGTGCATCTGTGTCAATGTAGGGTGGATTTGACCCCATCCAAATGCCACAGAGAGTGACTTGGATCAGGGAGCAGAATGGGATGATGTAGTTTGGTGCCCCTGATACCAGCAAGTGCCTCATCCTTCTGCCTGGAGCAGTGACCTTGAAGGCCAGCACCACAGTAATGGTTTTGGCCAAGACAGTGGAAACAGCCACAGTGAACACAACTCCAAATGTGGTCTCCTGCAGGATGCAGGTGGCCGTGCTGGGATGACCAATGAAGAGCAAGGAACAGAGGAAACAGCAGGTGAGAGAGATGAGCAGGGTGTAGCTGAGAGCCCTGTTGTTGGCCTTGACGATGGGAGTGTCTCTGTGCTTCACAAATAGCCCAAGTATTGTAGCTGTGAGAATAGTGAGACTCAGGGCAGTGCCAGCCAGAGCCTTTCCCAGAGAGTCTTCATAAGCCAGAAACATTACAGGCTTCTGAAGGCAGCGATTTTTCTGAATGTTGGCATACAGATGATCTGGTCACGTCACACACTGTTCCAAGTCTCATGAGAATTGAAATTATCATTATTCTAAATTCAATATTTTTCTCTTATTCACAGTTCTACCCCCAGAAGTTTATTGTTAATTGAGCCAAATTTCTATTTTTTCCTAGACATATGTAAAAATATATTATAATGCAATGATATCTCATGAACACTACCCAGCTTCCTTATGATGTTCTGGATGATACTCTCTTGGTAAATACAAAAAAAATCCCATTAATTGCTATCAAAATATTCCACTTTCCTTGACATTCACTTATCCCTTAATATTTGCCACTGTCTCAATCCTTTCAGAAAGGCCTCATTGGTGAGTGCCTCTATGAATTATGATTAATAACCAGTAATCCCCATGGTTCAGTGATTTCCAAAGGTAAAGGAGGCTTTTTGAAATATAATGGATCCTCAATTACTTTATTGACTAGATTGGCTTAAGTGCCACCTATGGCTCTTTCCAAAAGTCAAATGATGATGTTTTTCCCCAAATAAGACATATCTCTGTCATGACCATCCTGAGAGAAAGTGTACCGCAGAATAAGGCAATTTATGGTTCTCTTGGTCAGTGCCTATTTTGTGATGGCAGGCAAGACTCTGAGAGACTGATTGTGACTGTGATCCTTGACTGCTAGTAGGACTTATTTTCAGGAAAATGTGGAATTATGAATAAACCTTTTGAATCACTGCAGAACACTGAGGCAGATGCTATAGCCCAAGTAAAGGAGGATTTACATAACTGCTTGTGAAGAGGCAAGAATGATGGAATAAATGTGTTGATAGGTAGTGGAGTATTCTGAGGGGATTATGCAATGTGAAATTTCGTGTCATAAATATTTGGAAATTTATACATCATATATCCATATTATAACAACCCCAAATGTTGTTTTCCCCCAAATTCTGTGGATTCCAAGAGATTATGGATAAAATCCTAAAAACGGAGATTGTGCTGCACCATGATTATGCTGTACACAAAAGCTATACCTGATTTTACCCAGACAAAATCCCATTTTGAACATCTGTCCTCCAACAAAGAGTGTTGGATTCAACTTGCGAATAGAGGGAACAATAATACCTTTTTCTTTCTTAAGTTTTTTTGTTTTCATTTCTTGGTTTGTGGGAGAAAAAAGGAATGATGAAGAATGGACCATAAATTGTATTCTTACCTGTGTCATTGGCGATTTCATTCACGAGGCAAGGGATGCAATTAAAGCAACAGGTAGGCTTTCCTTCCTGAGGGGATTTCCTATATCCAGGATTACAACTCTCAGTGCATACAGAGTGCGGAGGCTGAGGAAAATCAGATACGTTTTGGTAACTTCCATGTATTTAACTTAATCCTTCATAAACTGTGTGATACACTTCACTTGTATGCACACAGTAATCTGAATCCTTCAATACCATATTTATTAAATGATAAATCATGAATACATAATTATAGTTAAGTGATTGTGTTTTCTAATATTAGAAACTGATCAAATACAAAAATTCTTTATACTAAGAGTGGAAGGTTAAGTTTTGCATGTGACCATCTTTAGACCAACAAAAATACACACTGTATTTTTTTTCACACTGTATTTTTATGATCATGGATGATTTTAACTCCAATACCTCTGTAATTCCTGTGGCCCACTCTATCAAATCTTCAGATAAAGACAACTGTTGCCCAAGTGGAGCATGAGATGAAAACTCTCCTACTTTCACCCTGAGTCTAAGGCCTTCTGGAAAATTCCAAAAGTTGAGAATGTCACACTTTGCATCCATTTTACTTGTAAGGTCTAAGATTATTTGTTCTCCAGCAGGATTGGTAAACTGGACATTCTTCAGAAAAGGGTGCAGCTGAAAGAGACATATAATCCTATGATGAATTGGACTCCAGCTTGAAGACAATATAAATGCAGAGATGTATTTATTCCTTGCTTTATAATACAATTTGAACAAAGATACCAGGTGAAATAGAATGAATTAAAGCCTGGTTAAGATTAACATACCATTATAATCCAGAAATGTCAATTTTAAGACATAATATCCTCACTAAGTCTATCTAAACAGATGATGTATGTGGATGTCAAATCTTTCCACACCCACATTCTCTCTGTCTTCACAGCATCTGCCTTCACACTTAAGTTATCAAAACTCAAGGCAGTTGTAGAATAAAATATTGAATAATTACATAATACACCCAGGATCATGTTTAGCACAGTTTGGTACATAGGGAAATATATATTATGCTGCTTTCTTAAACTGCATGAGTAAAGTTTATATTTTTATTGAAAACATCAGGCAAGCAGAGCACTGATTCCTTTTAAGCAGGTGTAATGATCCTGACTCATTTACAGGTCAAAATTTACCTCAAATGAAGACAGTAAATATCTCTTGAGTTTTGGAGAAAAGATTTTGCCTACCTGCTTAGCACTTGTAGGAGACATCCAGAAATTACCATGATAATGGAACTGCTATCTAATAAAATACATTACCTTCCAAGGGTAAAAGGCCATAGTCTCCCCATATTCCATTTGTTGCATTTGAATTTGTTGAAGAGACATGTCATGCAGTGCATGGGCCACTGCATACACAGCATTGTATATATTGAAGCTCCAATCATTCATGGTTGGATCAAAACTATTCACAGGTAGCCATGTCAGAGAGGCATTAGGTGTACAGTTCTTCAGGGAACAGTCAAATTCAGATAATGAGCAGTTGAAACTCTGGAACCAATGCAGACTGAAAAGCATGTCTTCTGGATATTTGGAGGGGGTGGCAGTCTGGATAAATTCCTTAAAACCAGGAATCTCCTCGTGGTGGTGTGAAAAAATCAGAATCCCATGGAAAGAATCAAGAATGAAATTTCTCCCAGCCATGTCAGCATGCCATTGGGAATTTGTCACCCAAACTACCCATGTCAGTAAATGTAGCCCTATGTGATAGTTTACATGATTTAGACTGTCACTATCATAATAAATGATAACCACATTAATTATTGAAGTTTCCCTGGTCTTTATACCATGCTTATATGCATCTAAGAAATATGATGTAAAAGCACTTAAGGTCCACAAAAGCTATGCAGACTTTGTTCCTCTCTGTCTCTTTTCTCATATCTGAGAGAAATTGGAGACCTTTCTGACCTTCTGCAATGGCCAGTCCCACCCAGGTCCAGCTGAAATGAAGCATCAAGGAGACCATGCCATGAGCCAGAGACGTGTCCATTGATGCTATCTGATAGAAAGAAGTAAACTGGCCATTGTCACTGATCATAGGATCAAAAGAGCCAAAGGAAAGCTAAAAGGAAAAGAAAATTAAGAGATCTGAAGAGAGTTGATGTGAACCAAAATCTTAATACTGGTGATTTTTAAGAAACAGCTGACAATTTTAGAAGCAAATACACATCTTTTCCTTTTGTGGAATTATCTCACTGCCTGAGATCCTTATTTTGGAATACAATTGAGCAGATGCATAGATCCAGGAAGTTGCTTTGCTTTTGTCTCTCTTTCCACTCTGTGGCAGACAGAACATGAATAATCTACAAATTTCTGTAGAAGATTTCTCATTGACATTACACAATGTGAATGATACTTAATTCCTTCAATCACGACCTTTTAGAACCTGAGAAATTAAAGATTTACAATATTATTTTTATCTATTTATTGCACATACTCTCACCTGTGGAAACTTGTAGAGTTCCAGCAGTGGTCCTATGTGAGTAGAAGTAACCCATGAAGTGCCTGTTAGTAATGCTACAGACTTGGTTACTCCTTCACAGATATAATTGGGTATTTCATTTTGCCCTGTATGCAAAACAAAGAAACTCTCCAATAACCTCCAATAAGTGGTAAATAAATTATGGACCTCATATCCCAGAGATATGTTAGGTAAAAGGTGAGGATTCCTGTTGATCTCTTCTATGGCAAAAATGAAGGCTAGAACAGTCTGGCAGTTGTTGGGCATAATCCTGCAGGGAAAACAGAAATACTTAAGGAAAAGACTACCCATAATTGTATTCCAATTTAGTGCAATACACTTTGTGAATTGAAAGCCTGTTTCCTCCCCCAAATTCACATTCTTAGACCCTATTGCTGAATGTGATGAGTATAGAAAATTGACTTTAGAGAAGTAATTGCTTTTAAATAGGTCATATGTGTGAAGTTTTCATGACATGTTGATATCCCTACAATAGACCAGATGGAACGTCTTACCTACTTGTTTCATGTGAGGGTACATTGGTGTGACTTCATGCATATGCCATGAATGAGATGCTCCTTAATTTCTTATCCTGAACTATTGGCACACATAAATTTCGTTACAGGCATGAAACGT